TGTTATACTTGTAAATCAGGAAAGACAGAAAATTCTTTCTACCTCTGTGGCAGGGAGAGATGCGATGTGCCTAGCGCCTTCTCCCACACAACAGGTCTTCACTTACTGAAGAATCTGGTGTCTGTGTACACACACGCGAGCTGCGACCCTGGATAATCCTTAGATGTTGGAATGAAGATTTGCATCAACCTAGTGTCATAAGTCCCAGAAAGAAGGTTTTTATTGTGGAGTTTGCAAAGCTCCATGAACAACAGAAGGTCCAAACACCTCCTTCTGCAGGCCCCCTGCTTTTAGGTCCTTCTTCAGCCCCTTCCTATCATCTCTGTACCAGGTGACTCCCTCCTCTTGCCTGCAGCCCTCCTGTTCAGTCTGACTGTAGCTTTCCTGGTATAGCTTCTCTGGAGTCCAGGGCCCAAAGGGAAACAGATAGGGCATCAGTACAGATGGAAACATTCAGATAAATCTTGCCTCCCCTTTCTTGCTTTCACCCCCCCTTTCCCTACTTCTACACACAAACTGCTTGAAATGCAAAAGTTCCAGTTCTCCCAACTTGTCGGAAAAACGTGTGTGTGTGTGTGTGTGTGTGTGTGTGTGTGTGTGTGTGGTGTGTGTGTGTCTTTCCCTGACCATCCTGCCTTCCCTGGGGTTTCATGCCCAGGAAAATGGCTGCAAGCTGGCTTTCCCACTGTGTCCTTCTAGGGCCTTTGGGTTCTTAAAACTGTAACTTCCTGTAATTTGTCTAGTTCACAAAGAAGCCAAGGAAAGGGAAATTTAGCACCTCAAATATTTGCTTGGCCTCTCCTAGATCCTTATTGCTTCCCAGCAGCCAATAAGAAATGCCACCTGCCCTCAGGGAAGGCCAGAAGTCTCTGGAGCAAGAGGCTTCTACTTATAGCATAGAGAGCCCCACCCTACCTGCTAGGAGTATAAACCCTGGAGATCAGAGATGGCCCTGAGACTTCTTATCTAGGACCCAAGGTCATAGGGAACACACCTCTTTGCAAAGCTGGGGACAGATCTTTCCCTTTCTCTCAGATCCTTCAGAATTACCTTTCTTTCACCATTTCCCTACCACTATAAAGATGACTTTGCACAGGGCCCAGAGACATGTTCCACTGGGGTTGGGATGAACAGTCTGTCCTGATGAAAAGAACAGTGGGGCAGGGGTGGGGGGATGTAGATC